GGAAGCAATCCTTTTTAAAATTTCTTAGATAATTTGAACTGAAGCACAATGTCATATTTTTAAAAACTGTTTCTGCATGAGATCCCACAAATTCACTTTCTTGATGTGACCTGGTAGTCAAAATGATAGTTTCTTCGAATAAGAAACTGTCATTATTTTCAGTAACTGTAGTCAGTGCCAAGACTGAATTCATAGACATTTAAGATTACCTATGTTTTTATGTATTGAAATTTTCGGGATATTTGTGAAAAACAGAATAAAAAAATAGCAGCTGTGACAAAGATTCCTTCAAATTCCTATACATATATTAAAGATATTCACCATGACAACAATATAGAGAATGATTTTGCTCTTCTTTCTGGAATGGTTTTTGAACTTCCCAGTCTTATCAATAGGCCTCAAATTTTCCTATGGTATGTTATTCAAATACTACAAACCCCAAATGCTACATTTTGCACAGTGCTGCCCCCTGCTGTTGATACTATTTTTATCACTGATTATGGTAATAATTTTCAGATTAAGTAAAAATGTTATCCTTATTTAAATTCAGCAAGTTCCAGATAATATTTGAACAGTTAATAAATGGCTATTAATAGAATAATGCCTTAGGAGAAACTAGTCACTTGTCTAAATCTATTCAATGAGTCATATCTTAGCTTCATATTTAATTGTGTAGTTATAAACATTATCAGTAAGTCTACTTTAAAAAGTAACTTCCCAACAAACTTTAAAAGATTATGAAAAATCCCCATAAAGCATGGTGATATATATATGTAAACTATAGATAAGGAATTTTGAAAACTGGTATTGGGAAATTACAATACATATCCAGCGGTCACAACCAAAGAGCGGATGCTCTCTATAGGAAGCCCGAATATTCCAAGCAGAAGACAAGCTTCTGCCAAGGACAGCGCTCTCTATCGAGTCTTTTGCTGTGATGCAGGAGTCAATAGATGTATGGGCTCGGATTCGGGAGGCCCAGCAGCAGCATGGGTGGGTGGCTCAGCGAAAGGAGGAGGTGGGGCCCAATTCCCCATGGACAGTCATGGATGGACTCTTCCACTATTGTGATTGGCTCTATGTTCCGGGGGGGCCGCTCTGGGGACTCATCCTCAGCCAGTGTCATGACAATCTGGCGGTGGGCCATTTTGGCCTGTTCAAGACCCTGAACTTGGTCTCCTGTACCTTCTGGTGGCCCCAAGTCTGACACGACTTCCAGGCCTATGTCACGTCCTGTATCCCATGTAGCCAGGCCAAGTCAGTGATGGGCCCTGCCCAGACTACTGCAGCCCTTGCTGACACCCAAAAGACCGTGGGGGGCTGTGTCCATGGACTTCCTGACGGACTTACCCCCGTCTTCTGGATTCATGACGGTGTTCATGGTGGTGGACATGCTGACCAAGATGGCACATTTCATCCCATACTGTGGCTTGCCGTCTGCCCACACCACCAGTCGCATGTTCATCCAGCAGATGTTCCAGCTGCACAGTCTTCCTGATAGGGTCATGTCTGATAGAGGGGCCCAGTTCACAGCCTGTTTCTGGCAGGGGTTGATGGAGACGTTGGATGTCAAGATCTGCCTCTCGTCCACACATCATCCCCAAACTGACGGAGGGACCGAGAAGATCCTCAGGATCCTTGAGCAATATCTGTGCTGCTATGTCAATCAGCAGCAGAACAATTGGGTGGACTATCTGGCAGTGGCTGAATTTGCGTTCAATAACTCACAGCACACCTCCACACAGATGACACCGTTCTTAGCCAATGTGGGATATCACCCTCAGTTTTTCCCTCTTTCCCCACTAGACTCACCAACAGCGAACGACTACATGGCAGAGTTACAGGAAATCCATTGATTGGTGCAGCGACAATTGAGAAGGCCAAGGCTGACTACAAAAGGTTTGCTGATCGGTGGAGGCGGGATATGCGCCCAATAACAGTGGGAGATTGGGTATGGCTGTCCACCAGGAACCTATCATCAACCCAGCCAGCCAAGAAATTAGACCACCGATATGTAGGACCGTTCCCAATCGAGTCTGTCATCAATCCGGTCACCTATTGCTTAACTCTGCCATGTTCCCTGCGGGTACATTCAGTCTTTCATTGGCCTCTGTTGGTCCCTGAGCAACCGGTGTGTCCACTTTGCCGAGCCGAACCTCCCCCACCAGAACAACATGATGGAGACAGTGCTCCCAAGTATGAGGTTGCCAGCATTCGGGACTCCTGTTGGATGAAAGGTCGCTTCCAGTACCTGATTGAATGGAAAGGCTATGGACCGGAGGAGTTCACCTTGGAGGATGCTCCTGCCTTGGTGACCACCTTTCATGAATAATTCCCATCCCGACTGCATCTGGATCGGCAGACTCGGGGGACGGGCCCTGCAGTGTGGGATAGTGTTGTGATTCCATGCCAGACTGTATTCCCAACATCTGAGTCTGGGGAATCTGAGGAGGAGGTGGAGGAGGCATTTGAAGGGCCATCAGGGTCAGAGGGAGGCTCTGATGAATTACAAGACTTGATGAAGAGCCTGGGCCCTCCAGTCATGTTCCTAATGAAGCTCAGCTGTGTGGGGAGAATGAGTCAGACTTGGAGGATTCACACCTGATGGACATGATGATTGATGCTCATAGACGCTGGCAATTAGCGAAAGCAGATCAGCAGCAGTCAATACAACAACTCCAAGGGAGGAGGAGGAGGCATTGAGAAGCAATGCCTTGGGATTGCTGTATAAAAAGGGAAGATGTGGGCAGTGCTGGTTGCTGAAGGCAACTGTTGCAAAGTATTTCATGGGATCATGTTCTGTTAGTCTTGCCGATGACTACTTCTCTGCTTTGTATGGTTTCGTGTGGACAATTTCCTCCATTTGGATTGTGTTTGCTACTTTTGTTTCTGGACTATTTGGCAAGTTGGTTACCCATATTAAAAGGGGTTTGTTTTCTTGAGTCTCCAGCCTATTTTCTCAAAACGGGTTTTGTCCTTGTGCCTTTAACAAGGACAGCCATAGGCCGGGATAGAACAACACCATTCCATACAAGCGGCTGTCCAGTCTCTTCTTAAAAGTCTCCAGTGATTTAGCACCCACAAGGTGCTCATTATTACAAGTAATATGAGTAAAAGTGCACTCTCTGGTACAATGCATGCAAAAATACATTCATGAGAAACAAGCTACAGACAGATACTGAGGATAAACATTTTGCACAATCTCCTTTTGCAACTTGTATCAAAGAGATTTAATAAAATTCATGGTCTATACACTGAAAAACCTTTGTGTATGTGGGGGAATTGATCTCTACTTCTGGTGCCATTATGCTAAAGTCTGCAAGCTTTCGGTGTTGAAAGCCACACTTGATCTGTAAATGGCCTGCAAAAGCTATATTTTATAAAATAGGTTATAGACTGTGGGGGGGGAGCATGTTGACTATTTTTGGTAAAATTAATTCACATCTTATTTAATGCCTACAACTCATTTTGATTCTTGGAATCTGCCAGGACAAGTCATTTCAGAAATGTTTTGTAATTGCCTGCTTCCTAGGGATGAGCGAGAGTGACTGGCCCAAAATCACCCAAGTGGTAGGTATAGAACTCACAGTCTTCTACTGGCCCAAAATCACCCAAGTGGTAGGTATAGAACTCACAGTCTTCTACTTTCTAACTTGAAGCTTTAATTACTACATCAAACTGGCTCTCTATTAGTAATTAACTGCATTATTTTCCAAGAATCAAAATTGTAAATGGATGGCAATATAAAACCATATAAATAAATGAAGTGTTAGTCTCAGTATCTATTCTTACTATTTAGTGGCAGGTTTTCAAGGCTATTGGTTGCTCTAAAAACTTTCTGAGTCTGCACACTATACTAAATGAAGAAAAGAAGAAGAAGATGATGAATAACTTACATAAATCTTGTAGTCTTTAAATGAAATTGTCCATTATGTGCAAATTCTGTTGATTTGCTGATTTGAAACCATTACACATAATGATATTGTCACAAGTTCCGACTAATGAAGCACTTCAAAGAACTTTCAGGCATGTTTCCTAAAGTCTTTATTTGCAGAGCTACAAATTATGCCGGTCACCATTGGACTAATTGATGCCAGAATCTGAACTTCCGGGCGCTGGCATCAAGCTTTCCTTGCTCAACCCCTCCCTTCTCATGCAGTCACAGGTCACATTATCCAATTAGTGAGAAGGTCAAACGTTTACTTCCTCTTTCTTTCCCGGGCTTTTTTCCCCCGCCCAGTCTAAGCTAAGTATTAACCCAATAAATGCCAGACAGTTTTGCATATTGTCAAAGCAAGAATATACAGTATTTGCAGCATTGACAGATATATTTGGTTCAGCAGTTAGACAAAAGCTTATCCATATTACTTAATAATACTCTTGAAACTGGCAAAAAGTGAATGCTGGTAGGGGTTTCCTGAAGACACATAGTATTCATTCATTCATTCATTCATTCATTCATTCATTCATAGCAATCTGACCAGCAACTTATGAGAATTTGATTTTAGACTCCATTTTAATAAAATTGAAATGAAATGTTGCCCTTTTCTTGAACCAAATGTGCCATAATGGAAATGGACAGTTTAAATCTCTCAGCATATGGGATCATAGAATTTGGGTTAGCTACAGGAAGTTAGAATAGATCTATTGAAATCAATGGCACAAGTTAGCCATGTGGCTAACTGGTCCTATTGGTATCAGTGGTACTACTTTATGTTCAGCTTAGTGTTTGTTGTAATATTGTTTGTTGATATAATATACTTGTTGTTATATACTAACTTACTATAATGTTGACTCTGTTACTTCAAATACCCTTACAGCATTTTAAGCACTACATGAAAGAAAAAGAGGAAATATGGCATTAACTTAAATCATTCTGCAACATATTTTATGGATTGGAAGAAAATGGGCCTTACATTCCATAACTTTTGGAAAAATAAATCATGCAAATTTATATTAAATAATTTAATATATTATGTACATTAAATACAATTCTTTACCTGACTAGGTCGTACATAAATGTTCTGCTGCTTCATTATTGCTGTGGTCTTAGTTTAATGCTTTATTTCAGAACATTTCCACACAGGACCTTGGGTTAGTTCAAAAGCAGTCTCCGACTGTTCCATCTCACAACTGTATCCAAAAGCCAAAAGAGTTTATTGATGGGTAAGTAAGTATAAAAGAAAACACAATAAATCTAGTCCTTTGGCTTGATGTGTTGAAGCTCTTAAGAGCTTGAGGACAAGTCTTTCACTGAGAGAAAAATTCCCTTAATTTCTAGTTTTGGCTGCTCCCTCCCCTTTGAAGCTTTGCTGTCAGAGCTTTGTCTCAGCATTTTGAAGCTGCAGATGATCACTGGTCAGTTTGAGCTTTAGGACAGTGAAAAGAATGGCTATATAGAAGCACCTTCAATAGCACTTCAACCCAGGAAACCACTATGCTGCAGTCTTTTGCTTTTAACTTGCAGTATAGGTTTGAAGAGAGATTCAAAATAGAACTAAAAGGATAGAATACAACCACTGATGTTTTTGGACTATATCCTTTTCCTGACCAAACAGAACAGCCTCTACTTGATATGTGAATATCATTTATGAGATAATTTATACTCAGCTTTATTCCAACAAATTAATGTAGGCAGAGATCCTTTCCTGTTACTTAAATGTTACTTAAATCTTGCTATTGATAGTTTTTGCAAAAATAGTGCAGTGCTTAAAATAAAATTATACCGCATTCCTTTATAGTCTTCTGAAATAGATCCTTTTATGTACCATCATTTTGCCAGCATGATATCATCCTGGCTGAAGAGAGATTGTCATGCTATTTATATTGTGCTGCAGTGTCCTTAAAGTGACCTTGCTTGCACAGGGAATGACAGCTTTTCTACATCTACCAAGTGCTTCTTATTGCTGCACCATGCACTAGTGGTTATTTGTATTAGACTATGAAGGCTCAACATAGCAGTTCCCAAAGTCACTGAAGAGAAAATGATAGTCTGATTAACTAAATGTTGTCAGTTACATGGAGGGCCCTTGTCTTTATAAAAAATAATTTTGGCCTGCTGTACCAACTTGTATCCTTCTGTTATTGGTTCATAGAGATCAAACCTTTAATAGTACCCCTACCCCCCCCCCACACACACATATACAAATTAACAAAAACAACCATAAACCAAAGCATACATAGGTTTACCATGGCAGCATCTACATCTGTCTTTTTGGTTCCATTTATAAAAATAAGCAAGCACTCTGATTTTCCCAAATGGTGATCATTGATCAACTGATCCATAGGAAATGAATCAAAGCTACTGATCATCTAGCTGTAAGCCTTCCAAGGGAGCAGGCAAGCATGAGAAACCGGGCAAATAATTTACAAAAAACAGAATATATTACTGCTGAAAACAGACAACTTTATAAAGCAGAAAGATTGCCTGGAGAGAGAATATTAGGAATAAAACTTTTATCAGAAAGTATTCTTGAGGCTAGTACTTCTGTTTAAAAAGAAATCATAAAAACAAGCTTAATTTAGGAAATAGCCTAGTGATAGAGAAGCCTGAGTTATTTAAGTCTATCTCTAAGGACCCGTACTGTGCTCTCTTCCACTATGTTGAGAGTCAGAAAGATAACAGAATACTGAATACAGTCAAAACTACCCCGTTGTTTGCAGTTCCACACTTTCACAACTTTTTTACACAGTGTCCAGAAAAACTGCCTATGAAATAATAAAGTAGGTTACATTCATAGTTTCATTTTTATTTATTAAGGAAAATTATATAAAAATATTTGGAACAATTGTTCAAGTATGGGGTTTTTAATTATATTGTATTATGATATGCATAATATTAGATATAGTTGAATAGTCAGTTAGTAAATACAACCTTTCTGGTTGCAAGGGATGTAATATCATATCCTTATACTGTATTTTCTTTCTTATCTTTTAGGCTTCCCCTAAAAGATAAGTGGAGCTGATGCTTTTGTGTTGATGCTTCATAGCCACAAATAGCTAATGATATCATAAACCTACTGTATATAGAACAAACCCAGTCTAATTGTGTACAAACTTCACAGGCTCTGGTACTGGAGATGCTGGCGGAACAGCTAAGAGAATTCATGTAAAAGCATTGTAGGAAAAGTAATGGGTTTTACCCCAAGTGCAATGAAAGTGAACACTGTAGTTCTATTTGACAGGTAATGCTGTTCATTCAAATGGAGGTAAACTCAGTTATTTAAAAGGGCAATACATTAGTCACAAGCCATTTAGCACATGCTTTTAACTTATTTTCAGATTTGACTATCTGGAAAGTATCATTCTGAAAGTGATCCACCTAGAATCAGATCTTTTCTGATTTTATGTAAAATAAGAACTGTAGTGCTATGGATGCCTTTTCAGAGGGTAGCAAACAGAGAAAGGGAGAGCAGTACCCATGGTGTGACAGGAACACTTTTGTGACAGGAACAAAGTGTTAATTTGGTCAAAACAATGTTGCAGCACTATGATGGAAACTCTGCCTCTTTTCTACATGCATTGCAATATTGCCCCCGCCCCCCCAAAAAGGCAGAGTTTGCATTGTAACCTTGCAACAATCCTTCTGTTGATCAAAAGCAGGCGTCTTCAAACTTGGCTCTTTTATGACTTGTGGACTTCAAGTCCCAGAATTCCTCAGCAAGCATGCCTGGCTGAGGAATTCTGGGAGTTGAAGTCCATAAGTCATAAAAGGGCCAGGTTTGAAGAACCCTGATCAAAAGCAACAAAATCCTGTACGCACAGCTGAACCAGAGAGCAATTCTTTTAATAGGGCAGTTGGTTGGTTAGTTGGTTGGTTGGATGGATTTTTATCCCTGTATTACTTTATAAATAAAGGGATAAGGCAACAAACAGGCATAATACTCCTGCCTCCTTCTAGTTTCCACACTAAAGCAACTCATTTTTTTCCACAGTATTTCAGGTCCAAAGACGTTAATATATTACATAATAAATATATATGCTCTAGAAGGAAATATATGTTTCTACACATTTCTGGATCAATGCAGCTCTAAAGGTAAACTATCCAAAGGGGATCGGGACAAGATAAAGGGAAGTGAGTATTTTAGTGAAGTAGATGCCATGTGGTAGAACTGCTGTGGGATGCTGAAGTGCAGCAATATAGATGTCTTGTAACTCTAGGTTTCTTCCTAGTCCTTTAGAATGATGGAGGACGTAATCCCACGGGTAGCGCTACACTAATATTTAGTTAGTGTTATTTTGTCTATCAGTATATGGCTGTGGGATTGTTACTGCTCTTGTTATATTGTATAACTATATCTAACCATCTACTTTGAATGTTGAAATTAACTTGCTTTTCTGGATATTGGGTTCCTGTTTTAGAATATACATGGACTTGTTTTCTATTTTCCTTTAGTCAGATATCACCACCTTTAACTTTGATTTTCACTTAAGATCTTGCTGTTAATTCACAAACTTGAGACTTTGATTAGCACTTTGCAAAAAAGATTCTCTTGCATTGTTTTACAGTTTTCTTTCAGTTATTAAGACAACATTTTATTCTAAAAAAAAGAGAATTCCAGTATATTTCCCATGGATGGCAGACACTGCCTTTACAATTATTTATATATAAGATAATTATGGAATATATCTCTCAAACAGTATGGAGTCTCCCAGGCTTTTCATAAGGAGAACATGTTATAAGATAACTATTCCATAGGCTTTTTTTTTTTAGACTGGAAACTGTGGCTACAGATAACCCTCGATTTATGACTATATGGAACCTGTTCATTATGGTCATAAGTATGACAGTCATAAGACAGGTCAACCATCCAATCTTACAACCTTTTGTGATGGGCGTTGAGCAAATGGGCAGTTGTTTGCTATGGACCGGTTTTGCCAAAATCTGAAAGTAAATGCCGGGTTTCAGCAATAATGGCATAAAATGTGGTCCTGTGACTATGGGATTCTGCTGGTTGCCTAGCTCCTGACATGTGGTCATGTAACTGTGCAAGATGGTGGCTTTTAGAACTTCAGAACTGGGTTGTAAGACCCCAGTCACTAAGCGACTGGTTGTAAGTCAAGGACACCTGTAACTAGAAAGTCTTCTGAGTGATAGAATGTAACAGAAAGGAAAAACATCAGCTGAATCATTCTTCAACATCTCCAAAATTAAAAAAAAAAAAACAACCCAAAACCCCGACATTGTTTTACTGATCCTTTGAGCAAACTTGTTTGTGAAACTGCTTTGCCTTCATGCTTCTAAGGAGTGAAATAAAGTAGAACGTATGATTTAACTTCATATTAATTTTAGAAGTTCTTCCAAGATTTAAATAACCAAGAGTAGCCACATTCTAACTGCTAAATAAAATTTTATCAGCAAAATCTGAAGAAAAAAATGACTTTGTTTTAAAAATGCATATTTCATTTATTCACAAGTTAGAGAAATGAGACAGGAGCAAAGAAGTCTTCATAAAAATTATCAGAGATCCTCCAGTTCCATGACTCCAGTGTTAAACTAAAGTCCTGGTTTTTGATCAGCAGTGTTTATGTGCAGGTGCCTGATAATAGGTCATAAACCTTTGCAAAGGAATCATAAAGCTGACATTATTTTCCTAATTGGTAAAAAAAGGAGAAATAATTGGGCGTCTTCCTAATGAGCAATCATTTGATCTTGCTTATGTTGGCAAACATGCAAGGCACTGTCTGTTCCTTTCATTTAATAAGGGCAATGTTTGCCTCTTCAGATGAAAGGTAAAGTATCCTCTTTTTCTGTCTAACCACCACAGTGACCAAATGATACAGTTTTTCCGCAGCAAACATTTTTATGTGCAGGCTATAATGTCAAATTTCATACAATTTTTCCTGAGAATGATGCAAGAAAAAATGGAAGCATTTAGTCTTCTGCCTACATGCTAACCTTAGTGATGGATTATAACTATGCTTAAGGGAAAGGAAGAGAGGGAGGGAGGGAGGGAAGGAGGGAGGGAGGAAGGGAGAGAGAGAGAGAGAGAGAATAGAGTAGAGTAGAGTAGAGTAGAACAGAACAGAACAGAACAGAACAGAACAGAACAGAACAGAACAGAATAGAATAGAATAGAATAGAAGCTGGACCAGTAAATAAAAGGACTTCTCCAATTTGAAAAAATGTTATT